GAATAATAAATGAAACTAGTGAAACATTGGTCCAGTGCGACTTACAGATCAATCGATCAAATAGAGATCACGCGTTGTAACGACCTTAATAAATCAGAGACCAACACGTGCAGCTTGCTAACGAGTATTTATTGACATTTCTATTCTTTCGCTCGAGTCGTGCTCAACATCTGTGAAAAGCAAGGCTTACCTTCGATTTCGGAAAGATAAGTAAACTCATAGTACGAAGAACATGTTTGATTACGAATTAAGAATTTTTATGATTATGATGTGACATTATTTTAAATTTGGAGGAAATTCCATAGAAAGCGTTAGTCTCTAATATGAAGCTGTGTTCGCATAAACGTAATCGTTTTTATTATCACAACCGCATCTGCATGCAACATATGGTAATGTGAGTATAAAGGAAGTTTACATCTCTAAAAATAAAAAATGAATACTTATGATTATAATGGTGTTGATAAACGCTCTTAATCAGCATGTACATTTTTAGTATGATTATTAATTTAAGAAAATCTATTATAATAATCTTGTTTCATAATCTAAAATATTTCAATTTAGATATTCGATACCAAAACTCTTTCATGTTATGAAATTTTTCTATTCACCTATGAATAATACCAAACAAGGTGGACACCGATTTTTTAATCTGTTTTTCTCCAAAACAAAGGGTGTCACAAAAATAATTAATTTTGCATTTTCGATGTGTTTTCGTACTCACAATCACTCTCTGCACAGTTTCGCCACGATTACTTGGTCGCCCTGCAAATTCGTAAGGGAGAAAGTGGATCGGAGCGAGCCAGGAGAAAATTGCACAATGACAAACGGAGCGAGCCATTTCGTTTCTCTATTTTCTCTTTCTCTCTGTCCCCGCTATCTTCTCTATTTTTTTGTTCATATGTCCCATCGAAAAGTGCCGCTCATTTTCTACCCGTTAAAAGTGCGACCGTATTGTTCAACCTTTCACCAGTTAAATTAATAATTCGAACGTTCCGCCACGCGAGTCGGCACGAGTTTAATCGCTCGAAAATCGCGCCAGTCTCGATATTCTCGATCGCCGGGTTTCGAGGTCGATTCGAGCGTTTTTTCCTTCTGTTTTTTTTTTCACTTAACACGATAAACGCGAGCACGGCTGCCGATCGATGCGCATCGAGTCACGCTACTTAATACCGATCCGCGCCAATCTAATTGACCGATGTCGTTAGCGCGGAAAACCCGTGTCCCGCAGGGAAGAACGGAAAATCGTGGAAAAATATTCGTTCGTCATACGCGACGGTTTTCCGCTTGTTTTTATTTTCCACTAGCTATCTCATGGGACGATGCAAATTATTAATCGGTCCGCGGGCGATGTTTATTAATCAGCCGGCAGTACTTGGCACCGGAGCATCAATAATATCAGCGCTGTTTATTCGACGGTCGTTAATCGCGGCCGGACCGCGACGCAATATTTCCCAGCGAGCGCGGTCAACGAGACAAATCGTGATGGGAAAGATGGAATAAAAAAAAAAAAAAAAACACGGAAAATTAATGCGTCGATCGCGGGATTTCGAATCGAAAATCGTACGCGATGCGAGTTTTGCGATAGAAGGGAGGTATCGACTGTTCGTCCCGCAGGCGATTTCTCGCGGGAAAAACGTAAACGACATCGCCACTTGTCGTGCGAATCTTTTGTGAAAAATGTGTCCGTGATCAGAACGAAACCAGAACGAAATCATTCGATTAAAATTACAGGTGCTCCAGAAAGCTCCTGAATCGTTGGGTCGTGAGTATATTTGGCGGTGGTATTAAATTAGGCAAAGATCCGAGTAGAAAATCAGATTACGTTCATTTTGTCAGGAATTATGGTTGGGTACTTCTCGATTCATATTTCGTTGAATTTTCCCGAACTTCAGAATGTTTGCTTGAATCAAGAATGATTTCACGCATTTATTGGACACGATCTCTGTGAAATCTTAAACGATCATCTTTCGAAAGTTACATTGGTAATCATATATTGCCGGTTATTTTACATATTTTCTCTCTGTCTACTCTATTTCCCTGTACTTTATAAAATGTTAATATGAACATATCAATTTTTAATTTAGTAAAAGTTTCTTCTTGTACGTATCTCATAGTCAATCGTATATTAATAAAACCTGAAGAATGAAGTGTGTAAATCTATATTCACGACAATGGTAACTGTGTTAAATTTATCACACTCCACAGCAATGTATGTAAATATTCTACACAAACGTAGAATTGATATTGGTCTACTGTACGGATTAAATTTTGCGAACCACTTTTCCGCGCCCCTTAATTGAAATCCAATTTCTGCGAGCCGGTGAAAATTTTAAGTCGTTCGCGAAACGATCCGCGAGAGAAATTATTAAGTCGAGTCGGAGCTTCGTATCGCCCTCGATCTTCAGGTCAGCCGGTAGTCTTTACCTCTTTATCAATTTTCATCGGGGACGCTGTGCGAGCGTTATCTCCATCGCTCGACCCGCGGCCAACGACGTTCCCGCAATAACGGGGTAAACTGAGGGAAGATCGAACGGTTGCTGCGCGAATAGCAATCCCAACGATGACCTTGAGCCAGGGAAACGATCTCCGGAGGTGTGCGAATATCTGGAAACATCAGGATTCCCGAAATATCGAGCATCCGAAACACCATTTACGATAAACTTTACTCGACACATCTGAAGACTGAAACTCTTGAGGTTCTATTTTCTGTATTATTCTATTCAAGTATTCAAATGGTTTTCATCATAAATTTGATATCGTTTGTACTGTTCTCAAACGAAACTTCTAATATACCCTTGCCTTTGTTACACTAACTACTTTTACAACTGTTTTCTAGTGACCTAAGTAAGCTTGCTTGTATTATATTCAGTCTCTGCATACTATATTCACATTAAAAAGTGTTTTAAAAAAAGCGTAGATTAGACTTGAAAATCTACATAAGACCCATAAGTCCCAGGTCGATTCAAGCAAATTCTCTAACCATATCTGAAATTTCAGGAATCCTCGTATTTTCGTGTCGCGAAATACCTTTACAATTTCGACCCAACCGAAAGGCTCCAATATTCGAGATTCTCGCACACCCTTAATGATCGTTGACCGATAAAATAGTCGATCGGTTGGCTGATCGCCGATGGAACCGGCTCCGCGGCCGATCGACGCGTTTTATCCGGATCTAGACTCGGTGAACAGACTCTCGATCGTCAGGTGAGCGCCGTGGAGATCGTAAAGAGGCCGACCGACTGGTGGACTCATTGTCAGTGGTATTTCCAATTGGCCCGTTGCGATCTCTTGCAGAGGAAACCGGTTCGTCGACTAGGTTCTCTGACTCTGCCCTCTCGCTCCTCCTTCCTCCTCCCGATTCCTGTTCGCGGGTCCTCGTCCTTTCCTTCTCCGAGTCGCGGCCTCCGTCCCTTATGCAGGCTTCCCACATGCAAGGACAATTGGCGCCAGTTTTCCCGCGTCTCATAACACGTCCACACGTGTACCTTTCGCGATAGATATAAAATTCTTGATGGGAGAAACAAATCATTCGCAAAAATCATAGAAGACACAAAATAAATTAATTCGTATCTACAGTAGTCAACAAAGTGTTTCTTTTCTCTAGATTCAAAATATTTTCTCTCGCGATTGAATTCACCAATAAACAGTTAAAGAAATGCATGGATAAAATAACATCCATCGCATTCAGGTGTCTCAGCAATTTTGAAAGTCGCGACAGCAAAAATTGGCGCCATTCGGGGTGGCGCGCTCCTGGCGCCACCGGACCTTGCCATGTGGAAGCCGTGCATAATTCTCCGTCCTTGTTTCTGGAGGCTTCGCGGGCCACCTTTCTCGGCGGCGGCTACTAGTCTCTACCTTGCGTTTCAGTGTTTACACCGCGGACGTATTGGTGCTCCGATCGAAGGACGGTTGCGCGCAAGATCCTGCCACCGTTCGGTGCTCATGGATTCCGCTGGACCGTGGACAGGCATCAAGAAGCGACCTCCAATCGTATCGGACCGTCAGAGGACGACACATCGTCGTTGGTAGTCAGGCGTCCCACTCCGCCGAAATTTTGCAGGGCAATTCGCGCGACCCTCTACCTACCAGCCGGGGACAATCAGCAAGGAGATTCGTCGGTTTTCTCAAATCGTGAAAATTTTGATTACATTCTATCTTTGAGACGCAACGGGTACTCGGACCACGGGAAAGCGCATCGAGGGAAAGTTCGCCAGCGGTCGATGCGCAAACTTTTCGACGGTACGCGAGCAGTCGTGACGTACACCGACCCGAGAACCGGCCGACGAGCCTTTTCTGGGTCTCAGAGAAGGATGGAATGAAAACCTCGGCCCTACAGTCAGCCGAGCTATCCAGCATTCTTCCCTGCTTTGTTCCACCGGGTGTCTTGGATCGTCTGTGAAATTCCGTCGGACTCTCTCGCCTTGACAGACGGGAACAAGTGACAACGAACGGGTGCTCCCTTCGACGCCTTCGCGCGAACGTACATTCTCGAAGGACCTCGTCGTTCTTTTAATTTGATTCCCCGGGGCGAAGTGTCATCGACGAATTTCAACTTCCTTCCATGAACAGAATAATAAGACGCTTCGGGTGTTCTCGACGAGTCGACGACAGGTGTGAAAACCAGTGACAGTTTGTTTCTCGATCCTTCGCCATTCTTCTCGAACGTTCATCGTCGATGGTTTGAGTAGGATCGAGGGAAAGCTCCCCGCGAGTAGGCTCCTTTGAGGAGGATCTCGTTGTGGCGAGAAACTGCCTAAAAGTTTGATTAATCGAACTGTGCACGTCGAACCGTACATCGCGAAGACTAGCGCGCTCCGAATAGTAACTGTGGTTCGTTTTACGCGAGAGTCGATTTCTGCTTGTGTCCTTGGTGTTACTCGATTCAAGACGTTGAAGACATTAGGGAACACTCGTACAGAGATACGTAAAGGTGAACGAGTGCTCGAGCGCGGGAGGATTTGTGGAGGGTAAGAGACTGGGGGTTGCGCGGCGGCGCGGGGGAGGCGTGTAGAGCGAAGCCAGGTACACCGTCAGTGTTTGATCCGTCGCGATTCGGACAACACGTATCGCGCGTCGTGCAGCTGGCGAGTGTGATTGGAGGCGGTGAAGCTCGATCTTTGCTTCGCTGGTACGGTGCACGAGTACGGTACGTGTTTACGTACTTCGTCGAGGATCGCGTGCGCCGTTGGCTTCGTGCTCGATAGTCGTCGACGTTACGCATTTAACCGTTGGTGTAAGAAAACTTCCTGTATACCCGTGGTTATCCGTTGCGGGCATCAGTGTCGACGCTTTGGATCGACGACGACGATCGCCGCGGTTCGTCCGCCCATCGCGATGATTCGCATCCGCGATCGACGTCGTGAGTGAACGACCCTGGATTGTCCGCTGGAAACTCTCTCGGGCTTTGACCGTTTTGTGACTTCGATGACTCTAATCGTGATCGCTCTCCGCGGGAAACTGATACGAGAGACGGCACACGAGTGGGAAATCGAACATTCTGTGGGGCGAGGGTGAAGGAGACGCGGAAATACGTCTTGGAATCGTGTATCCGATATCAGAGCCGATCGAACTAGATTAGGAGCCGACAACAGACCGCCCGCAACCGGGCGGACGAAGATCGCTACCATCATGGACTGGTGGCTGAGAGGACGGGTTATATACGCCTATCTGCTATGGGTCGTCTTCAAGGTGGCTGCTGCAGGCGGATTTTTCGGTGAGTAACGTTTGAGTACTGAAACATTTCGAGCGATTTTACGTTCTGCTTCGGAGAATCGTTGAGTGTCGATTTGAAACGTGTAGGAAGAATTCGGGAGAGTATTGGCGTTAGACGACTAATTTAATTTAGAATCTGTATTCATGCACTCGTACCAAATTAGTATAGACCGTTGTGCCTGCCGCGTCGCTCGAGATACGCGAACTTCGTGCTCCTCCTGGGTCCCATTGACTCCGAAGGCACGTTTACGCCTCGCTTGAAAAGTTTTTGTTGTCAATTTAGACCCAACTCTAGGCATTTTAAATGAAGCGTATATCGTGGCACGTCTTTGCTACGACGTGCGCTGGAATGTTCTCGCGCGACATGCCAGCGTAAAAGAAGTTACGTTTACAGCTGACCGAGTTATTTCTTTATACATATGTACGTGTAACAAAGCAATCTGATTATCGTACCAACTCGTTACGCCATCGTTTACATCGTTTCATTACGGATCGAGTGCTTGGTACGCGATAACTAATCGTTTGTGACAGGATATTCAGAAAAAGTTTAATTAAAAGCTGCATATTTGCAGTACTTATAATCGTCATGCTTTTTGAGTTTCTCTAGTCGATTATTTCGATAATTATTCGCTTCCAGTTTCTTGGATACAAACAGTCAGAAAGAGAAATGTGTACCTTTTCAAAGGGGTGGTTTCTTCCCCTGAATCCTTGTACTCTTCTTCGATTCTTTAGTTAGTCAAACTCCACCATTATCACTCACCTTAAGCTTTTACCCAAATATTAAATATCGATCCTTTCTTGATATACTATGATGTAATTGAGTTCGAAGTACTATGGTTTCCAATATTCCAGAAAATGATGAGAAAGGACTTTCAAAGAAAAATCCCCAAGAAATAGATCTTTCTTCTCCAGAGTATCGTAGTTCTTGCTCCAAAATAATATCTATCGGGGCTGAATTCTTGACAGACTGTAGCCCAAGGCTGACACCATTCTGCGCCCAGCAGTTTTCAAATGATTGTTACGCGTACCAAGTATACGTTGGCTTTTCAACGATGACGTTCCCTTACACGGGCGAAAGGGATCCGACCGCGTGCTAATCCCTCATTGCTCGACGCGCTGTTGCGGATAGGAGATTGTATTATGTTACGTATACTTTGTGCCCTTGTACCGAGCTGCGGTCTATTGTAAACACCGTGTTTTTCCAGTCCCGCGGGAAAATCGCGGTGTTTGCGGTCGAGCGACGTTTCCGTGACACGGTTTCTCGCGGATCGTCGAGCAGCCAGGATTTTTAATTACTCGTCGCGAGCATACCTTTGCCCTCTACGGAGGGACTAGGCTTTTCCGGGGAAACTAATTTCAATCTGAACGAAACGCTGCGTTTGTCGAGGTCTCTGCTTGCAGGTGGCCAATGTGGGAAGAAATTTTAGGTAGGACAGTGAGATCACAACAGGTGGGAGCGAGGGTGTGGACGACCATGAAAAACCTTGATATGAATCAATAAGAAAGTTTCATCGCATTCATATGACTGTAAGAAAAATAGTTTTCACTGTTTACTATTCATCTCTTAACTCCAAAAAATATACAAGTTCTCTTACACTCTTACACTAAAAACCTAGGTCGAAACGAAAAGCGTTATTCTCGAACAGCGATCATTCTCTGGGTTATTTAACGACAGCACAGCGTCGTCGTCTTCGATTGACTGAAACTCGAAGTCTGTTCCCGGAGAATTACTCCGATCGAAAAGCGAGCGATGAAAGTTCATCAACAATGCTTCACCGAATTTTTCCCGGTCACGCTCGCCGTTCTGGAGAAGCGTCGCTTCTCACAGCAGACAAGAGAAGACGTTGCATGAAACGCAATACTGGAATTACTTTAACCTTTCGATCGGTGTGTTCCGAGGGAACAAAAGGGCAGTCCGTTGGTTGACGACTGCGAAAATGCATGTACGCGGTGCCATCTGGTAAATCGAACACGTGGCAGGTTTTTTTTATCGATTACTTCCGGAACATTCTTTACTTCGCGAAACAGGAGCGTCGTATTGCGCGTATAATTCACTGTTAGCGGTGGCGCCGACTGTATATAAGGGAGCTAGACCGCAAACGTAAATAAAAGCCGCCTTTTGTCGAAACGTGAAAACGTGCTCGAGAACACCCCTTCCGCGGGATTTAGAGTTATTTTCGTCGCGCGACATTTTTCCACGGTTTTCGAAAGGTAATGGACCGAGTTACGGAGCACAATATGGGCAATTCCTCAAAGCCGCTCGATGCCCGCGATGAACGGACGATTAAACTGTTGTTTCGCCCTCCAATTCGAAATTTTCGTTTGCCCCATGTAATCAACTGTTTATCATGCATATATTTTCAGTCGATATATTATGATTACATTGGAATATAATTCGATTTGCAGTTTATATGGTCATTTCGACAATTTTATTCATCTTTATTATAGGAAATTTATATTTTTATTGTAATTACTTCGATGATATAGATTGTAATATTTTTGTGATATATTCCTCTCCATGTTCAAGAAAATTTGAACAGAATATTTTTCTATTATCGAAGAAGACGGAAGACCACCTCATGATCGTAACGTCTATGATGAAGATGAATCGAATGCTTGGAATGACATTATCGATTTCGTATATACCCATCCCTCAGTTTTCGTCTATTCTTCACATTATAAATTATTTATGAGTACCATTTTCTGCGTATAATATCCTTCATTCTCTCTAATAATGCAAATCCACTTGGTAACAACTATTTTACATTACATCCCCCCACGTTATATTCTACCGTTTAATACAGTACCTCTGTTGCATTAAATTCCGAAACAAAGTAAATTAGTATTTTTCTCCTATAATTATCAGCAATCATAATTATATACTCTTCATCCTCGAATTGCTTCTATAAACATATCCACCAACGACGTCTAAGCACCCCCGTCGGTGAGAAATTTATCTCTGTTACATTAAATTTCCAAACAATACAAATCAGTATTTTTCTCCTGTAATTACCAGCAATCATAATTATATACTCTTCATCCTCGAATTGCTTCTATAAACATATCCACCAACGACGTCTGCAAGCACCCACGTCGGTCAGATTTCCAGACGGTTGGGTCGCTCTACGAATTAGCGGGCGGTAATAAAGTTTGCAGCATGTCGTCCCGGACAAAACTATTGAAATTGTTGGCAAAGTGGGGGAGAGGTGAGGGCTACCACGTCGAATCCCGGACGCGATAATCTATTATCACGCGGGCCACGTGCATGCTTGCACCTCGCAGAGTGGGCAGCTTTTAGCGCGGGGCCAAACTGGCGCTTAACTTTTCGCGAGCCCCGTCACGTTCACCTGATTGCGCATATTTGTCAATCCGTAGCCGTTCGCGGTGCGCGGCCCGCGAGATCATATTACCGCCGAGTTAATCGCCAGCTTACCGCTCGAAATTAATTAGTAACCGCGGTAAACCGCGTTTCGTATGCTTCTAAATGCTTGTTGCCGGATTCGAGGGACGATACACCGCAACATTGGCCGTGGCTATCTCCGCCTATCATTGACGCATGACGAACGGGTGTATGAGGAATGGAGAAAATATTTCACCCCTGTTTTACCGAACGGGGATCAAACGGGGAATTTTCATGTTTCAATCAACGTAATTTTTATTTATTTGCTTGTCAATATAAAAATATTCCGTTCCAGAGATGGAACGTAATTAATTAAAATTATATGGCGTATGAACGTTCGAATTCGTCGGTTGAAAAGTTTTGTTTACTCTTTAGGAGGCTTCGCAATTTTTATATTTGCGTGAATACTGCGGTGTCGCCCATACTGTGATTGAAAATCGTGGGAGGAACGTCGAGAGAACGTTGTACTATTTAAGGGTGGCCTGATCGCAGGGTTTCGAATCCTGAGCTCAATATAAATTCGAGTTTCTTGTGATGAAGAATAGTCAATACTCAAAGTAAAATATCAATGTCATATTAATTTATAATTTCCCAAGTAAAGACACAGGACACCACTTTGTTTAATATTGCTTCTGATGATATAAATTTCTATAGATTTGGAGAACAGAATTTGTCTCCAGACTTTAAATGAGAGAATAGACGCGTAAATGCTTATTAACTCCGTGAGAGTTCCTCAAAGCGGAATTTTGAGCCTCGACGGGCCGATTTCTAGTTAGCAAGAAGAAGAAGTTAGCCGGGCGCGAGATTTAAAAGTATGTTTCGATTAAAATACAATTAAGCTGGGATTCATAGCGAGAAAAATTAAATTAACATAAATTAGCATCGAGAATCCAGCACGCGCAACGGCCGTCCGCTTGTTAAATTCTATGAAAGCTGGAGACACGGAAGTAATGCAGCGTCTACAATTAATAAGCGTAATACTGCACTTGTTTGTTTTTTTGTTTGTTTCACGCAACTAGAGATCTGAGAGGTGGTTTGTGCTGAGAGGGGCTAAGGACTTGATCTTGTTTATCATCCCGTTTATCTGGCAACAAGAATAATTCGCATGAGCATACTCATGTATATTCTGTATATGTTTTCGTTTCATGTTCAGATCTCCTTCAGTAGATTCATCGTTAAACAAACAGACTTTTAGAGTGAAAATGTTAAGGGCTTCAGGATACTAGATAATAAAATTCTTACCTAGATTAAAAATCGAAGAAACAAACGAAAAAAAAGAGAACATTTATCCATCACTCGTTACATAAAACATTAGAAAATGAATCGTGGACTGAAATATTTCATAACGAACAAATAAAAATTTCACCGTTCGATGGAATAAGCGTCACGTATAAATCCCAACGCGTTTGGTTTTATTTGTTATCCATTATTCCAATAAATTATCGCCATTCGCTGCTTGTAGTCGTCGAGCATATATTTGAATTAAAACGTTTTCCATCTCGATGTGTGTCTTCTTCGTTATACGTATCGTACAATTAATAAAAATAGATTCAATCTATAATAACGATAATCGAATGTACATCATCCGTAAAAGAAAAACG